ATTTCCTAAATTCAACAAAAATGGTAGAAAGTTCACTTACTTTGAGGTGTGTATGTAGAAGGCTCCTGGATGATGATGATGATGATGGGATTTAGAATGGGGGTGGAGGAGAAGGAAGAAGAGAAGGTATTGGGGTGGAAGAGAAGTCACCCCATGGTGCCATTTCACCCATAAAATTTTAGCTCTCTGGTTTAATTCAAGATTATTTTCTTTAAATCAACGCTGCACTACATTATATATTGTCAATATATAAAATATATTTCAAAATGACCAATAATTTGCTTGGAAACACAGAAAAAAAGCGTTTAGTTGAAGAGAGTCTCAAGCAAGATGTTACCTCCAGTGAAAACAGAGAGAGACTGACGCCTGTTTGCTGTGTTAAGAGGCTGGATGCCGCCCATTAAACTAGTCACTTTACCTTCAATTTTGTTCAATAATTGTTAAAATGACTAAAAAATTGAATATTAAACTTTTAAAATTATTGAATAGTATAAACTTCTTGATATTTACAAAAATAGTAAGGAATTTAAGCCCTAGAACCGATTAATGTATTGGCGGACTGATACTAAAGCTGGTTGCCCGGTCAGTGCAAGCGAAAACATGTTGAGGTCGGTTCGTAAGAAGTTCGTTAAGCGAATTTTTTTTCGTTAACCGAATTGAAGATCCTTATGGAAGGCAGTTCGTTAATCGAAATTACGTTAACCGAGGTGTTCGTTAAACGAGGGGTCACTGTATATATATATATGTGTGTGTATATGTATAGGTGTATATATATATATATATATATTGCTGTACATCTCGAGTTCTTTTGCAGTTCTATGCATCAATTCTTCTATACACATTTTGTTTTTCATTACCTGTATTCCATCTCTTTGGTAAATATATTTAATAGAATATTCATTTTATTTTATTTTTTTAAACTATGCAAAAGCAGATAATAATTGAGATACAACATCATTTTTGGATATGCTTATGTTTATTATTTCACTTTCAGTGTTGTAGGAATCCTTGTCACTGATGTTAAGAAGTGTTCATATTGTATGTACCCTACAGGTGTCTTAACCAGAATTCAGGTAACCCCCACCCTGACCTACTCCATTTTATGCTTGAGAACATAGCAGTATGGTGCGCCGAGACAAATTTTTTTCACTTGTCCTAACACTTGTTAATTGTCTTAATAGTTCATTTAATTGTCTTGATAGTTCAATTAATTGTCTTGATAGTTCATTTAATTGTCTTGATAGTTCAGTTAATTGTCTTGATAGTTCAGTTAATTGTCTTGATAGTTCAATTAATTGTCTTGATAGTTCATTTAATTGTCTTGATAGTTCAATTAATTGTCTTGATAGTTCATTTAATTGTCTTGATAGTTCAATTAATTGTCTTGATAGTTCATTTAATTGTCTTGATAGTTCAGTTAATTGTCTTGATAGTTCAATTAATTGTCTTGATAGTTCATTTAATTGTCTTGATAGTTCAATTAATTGTCTTGATAGTTCATTTAATTGTCTTGATAGTTCAGTTAATTGTCTTGATAGTTCAGTTAATTGTCTTGATAGTTCAATTAATTGTCTTGATAGTTCATTTAATTGTCTTGATAGTTCAATTAATTGTCTTGATAGTTCATTTAATTGTCTTGATAGTTCAATTAATTGTCTTGATAGTTCATTTAATTGTCTTGATAGTTCAGTTAATTGTCTTGATAGTTCAATTAATTGTCTTGATAGTTCATTTAATTGTCTTGATAGTTCAATTAATTGTCTTGATAGTTCATTTAATTGTCTTGATAGTTCAATTAATTGTCTTGATAGTTCATTTAATTGTCTTGATAGTTCAATTCATTGTCTTGATAGTTCAGTTCATTGTCTTGATAGTTCAGTTAAATGTCTTAATAGCTCTGTAGATTAATTTGCTCCTTGCCCTGTAGCTATTTTATGTACAGTACTTCATAAACCCTTTGTAAAATATTTATGAGAGAATTTTAAATGTGAATTGTAAGGTACTAATACAAATAGTCGTCTTCCTCAACAGATGATAAAATGAATAACCATTTGTTGGTATAGTATGTACGTGTTAACACCCTGAGTTTTGTGTGGTTCAGTATGCAGTGTTTTAAAAAGATGAGAAGTTTGTGGTTTAACTCAAGTTGCCAGTTTTATGGTTTAACATATGTTGCCAGTTTTATAATTTAACACAGGTTTCCAGTTCTATGGTTAAACACTAGATGCCAATTCTGTGGTTTAACACTAGTTGCCAGTTTTATGGTTTAACATAAGTTACCCGTTTTATGGTTTAACATTAGTTCCACTCCCTGATTTATTGAGGATTTGTGTTATATGTGTAATTGTGATATAATCTCTCTTGCTAAATGTTCATGGCTCATGAAATCTGATATTATCATAGATATTGAATTGCATTGCACATTTACCATTAAAATTGTTGATGATTTAATGCTTCTTAAGTGATCATAAAGTGTCTGATATACCGTACTGTATCATGAGGTACAGCCTAGATTGATGAATGGGTGTTTTAGTTATTGAGGGTTGATTCTTGCGTTGCTTATATTTTGCTATGTGAACCCTCATGTCTATTATGAAATTAGTGATGAGTATATCTCTTACTTATGCATTGCATATTATGTGAGACTTGTTAAAGAAAGTTTTTCTAACAAACTGAATGGCATGAACGTGCAAGAGAACTGTAAAATAATATAAATATCTGGTATGTGTAATTTATTATTAATATTATTTTCTTTTAATGAAGCAACAAGAGGATCCAGGGATGGTGCCTCCACCCTAACCTAACCGAAAGGGGTCTCGGCTGGTGATTCTCCCATCATAGTTGTGTATTTATCATTATGCCATGGGCAGTGGTTATGTGTTGCAGAGCTGTTAAGACCTTCAGTTGCCTGTCTCTACAATGGGTAACATCACCTGCATTACTGGCCAGCATCTGAGTCACTAGTAAAAAGTAGCTCCAACATCCAGCTAATATTAATTCTTGACGGCTGTAGACGCTTCTCAGCCGGCGTAGAAGCGTTAGATCCTTCCTATCTTGAGTAGTAATGGCCAAGTATACTGAGGACAACTGCACGTTGGTTGTGTGTTGCTGTTTGGTCATCATTAGTGGTCAGCTTATTATTTAACTTGGCAGTAAGTTACATGCCTCTAAGGATTAGTGTTGGACCCGTCAACTATATGTTAGATCTCAGCTGCTGACTGTAAATGCAGGTGTTTTTCCATGTACAGTATACTTATTTCTCTATTATTTACTTTATTCTTTTATTTCACTTTACGGTGTATGCTGTGAAGTAATTCCAAATATCATTGTCTTGGATGACACTTTGCAAGTTGAGTTCTTGGACACTTTGGAAAACTATGTGATATGCTGTATTATTTCCATTCATATCTTGGGTATGTTACATTCATGCAAGTGTAAATTAATAGATGTAATTTTTTTTTTTTTTTTTTAAGTGTGGATATTATCTCAACATAATTGATTAAAACATTTGAAAATGACTTGTAGAGTTGTAACCCTGTTGCAGGTGCTTATGTTTCTAATTTACTAACTGTGGGAGTTACCCAAGTGTCGAGTGATGATACCTGCCATAACTGCCTGCATGTGTGCTCTAACTTATGTTTTAACCATTATATTGAGAATTATATTTAGGAAGCACACTGCTAAACTCGGTTAATGCAAGCGTGATGTATTTTTGTGGTATCTACTGCACACTAGCTTTATATAGATGACCAGCTCATTTTTAATGTTTTTCCTTAAAAAAAAAAACTGCCGAGTTACAAATATGTCTATTTTATAGGTGGATGTTATTTGTAACTTAGCAGAATGTACATAAAGCTAGAGCATAATTACTCCAGAATACAAGTTCAAAGCATTAGTTGGTGTTTAGGCTTTGTGGACATGTTAAATGGATGAGTCCATGCTCTGAGTATGCTCTTGAGAATATGATTTTTCCAAGCTGTTATTTTGGCTAACCTGTAAATTTATTTATTACTGAGAATTTTTAGTATTTTGTTTACTTATTTTATATTATTTGTAAATATTTTTTTAATAATTCATGGTCAGTTTGTTAGCTTTGAAAGATAGGAAGGTAACTTGTTCGGAGAAACTGGTCTAATCTCTTGAGTTCATTTTGAGAATCTCATATCTTATATTTGCTGTGTGGAGCTTCATGCCAAAAGAAAGACGGACAAATTAGTTTTAAGCGAGGTGCTGCTTGCAGTGAATAAATGTTCTTCCTCGTTTGGAAGCGATTGCTATTCTTTCAGACATCTCCCGAGCATCATAACTTGCCCAACCCAACCTAACCTAGTCTTACTTCACTCCCAGTTTTGTAGGGTCACCCCTTTAGGAGGAGGTGCTCCAGTTAACTACAGTCACCTTATCTCTTCCTAAGAATTTTTAGTAATCTCTGCGATCAAACTACCCGTGGATATAATTTGAAGTCGACTTAATACTGGAAAGCGCACTTGTTAAAATGATTCTGCAATCTTCTTATTTGAATATATATATTTTTTTTAGATGGTTCTTTATTCTTTTTTTTTATATACTGTATGTATATTTGGGGAGGCACCTGTTTCTGGATCATTTTTTATGTGATGTGACAAGTGATGCTGTGGCTCCATAGTGTCACTAGGGCTCAGACTCCCCTGCCACCACACATATATCTCCTGTATGTAGCCTTGTACATGTGTTATAGAAAGAAGGAAGCAGTAGGTCTGGACTGATGGTCCTTTCTGAGTCAGTGTTCAGAGACAGATGCCTAAGTTCTGAATTCTTTTATGTCATGTTAGGTTTTATACTCTACTTTTTGATGTTCATGATATTTACTGCAGGTTTATTTTGTTTTGAGTCTCCGTCAAAACTATTCAACTCACAAACTATTTTCCAGAATTTCTACCAAACTGTAAGTTATTTGGTTCAGGACTACTGCTTGTATCCTAGTGACAGTAAGTAATGTAAGAAAAACAAACTTTGTGTATTTTATGGTTATTTTTTTTTAACCTAAGATATAACAATTGAAGTATTTTTGTAAGTGGTCTTGGTCCTCCATGAAGAATGATGATATGGAAACACACTGTTCTGCTAATTCTCTTACCATGGAGAATGATGGTATGGAAACACATGTTCTCTTAGTTCTCTTATTGTAATAGAAATATTTTCATGTTGATATTAGACTTAGAAGAAACTCCAATAGGTGTTCAAATTTCATGTATAGTAAAGTTGAGTGCTAAAGCATACAATAAGGCTTCCACTTGTGTGCTAAAGTCCTTGTGCTGCTCTAGTCTGTCTGGTGGTAGCATCTTACCTACATTTCTGGCCTTGCTTAGTTCTCCAGTATTTACACGTAATGAAATCTAATAAAGATGGAAGCAACTTCTCTCATAGTATATTTAGTAAACTTTTTATTTATTATCACACTACTGTATAGAACAGAATTTCCACCGAGCGTGTTCTTTACAGTATGTCAATTAAGTTTCTGCTCGTCAAGATGTCAGATGTAGACGACGTAAAGACAGAATTAATACCAAAGGCTTGATGTATTGGTTTCATCCACCCCAGGTAATTGGGAATGGAGTAAGATGATGGATAGATTGATCGACAAAACATTACTCTCTTGGTCTGTCTGTCTCTCTCTCTCTATCATTTAGAGTATTTCTCTCTTTAAACTTTGCTTAAAGGATATCTGCAGTCCCATACTATTTTAACCTATTGTTGTTACTTTCCAAAAGGTGAATCTAAATTTAAAATAAAATTTCATAATGTAGGTTTAGCCCAAAAAATTTAGAGTGCCAAAACAACTTCCACATTTGCCACCTCTCAGCCAGAATGGCTTCAGTGTTCTCACCTCTACCTATTGTGACCCATAACAATTTAAAACACTGGCACAGTACAATTGACACAGTGTGCAGTTAAGTAATTACATAAAGATCACTAAAAGAATTTAGCACCTTTACATTATAAATTCATATGGGAATTAAATGCACAGCACATATATTAAAATTTTAAAATCATAACCCAAGACAAATATCAGTACAGAATTACCTTAACTACATTGAGGACATGGTGTTGCTAGAGGCCAGTTTAGATTATGTTTACATGTACTTTTATTTATGTTGAAAAAGTATTGAATTAATGCAATTGACTTACCATTACTGCCCAGTGTTTGGAGGAATGGGGATTGATGTTATGAGATAAAGCATTTACAGTACAGTATGTTCCTAATAACATGTATCATAATTATATCCCACATCATACTTACACGTAACATTACCGTCATATTTATCCTAAGAGACTGTGATACCAGAAGTTTAAAGGATTACAATTAAATTTTCAAGGTAATGAATACATTTCATGATTTTTTGGATGAGAAAATGATTATCCCTTATGTTCTTATTACCAGACTTGACACATATTCTCCTCTGAAATTTTCCTTTCTAAGTTTCTATGTATCAACCAGAGAGAGACTGAGCTCTGTTTTACACCTTCCTGATGACCTAGTTGTACAGTAGCTAAAACAACTATCTGTGCATACTTTCTGGGAAACAATGAGACCATGGACGATAAATTTTGGTATATGAGGGCTGTCACTAGTCACACGTTAAATTTTGGAGCGTATCGACCCTCACCTGCACAGATAGTTGTTTTAGTTACTGTACATGAAGCTTTATCTCTTTATTTATCTTTATGTCTAATTAATTTTTACTCTCCATTTTCTTGAAAGAAAATAATTAATTTTTATAAAGAATAATTACTTTTTACTCTTCATTTCCCATAAGGTATACTGCACAGTAGTTAGTTGTCACTCTCTTAATTCCCACAAAATATAATTGTTCAAAAGCTTGTGCACAAATGTCCCCTCAACAGTTTATTCAAGATCTCTGAGATATTATTTTCTTTGTCTGGTGAATTATATCATATAATAGGTCTCGAATACAATTTACTGTAGTATTTAAAGAGAGGAATATATAAGATTATTTTTAAGGGAGGGAACTTTGATAGACAATATATCTACAGTATTTTAAATCTTATTTCCAAAATTTTATAGATAGACTACAGTACACACATTAAGACAAGATGAATAATTGAGTTCATCAAGTTTAATACAACCGGTGTTCTACCTAGAATGGTTTTGAGGTTATTAGGTTTTTAAATGGTCAGATAATTTGTGGGCACCTTGTCCTATATACCTTTAAAGTTTCACAGTTCTGAGTTGGGGAAATGAGGAGAGCAGCAGCTTTTATCACTTGCACCTATGGTGTATATATAAGTGAAACATAAGGTTTGTTGTACTGTATAGCATAGGAAAACATTACTTTGAGCTTAAGACTGAGGTGTTTGTAGATAATTGTGTTAAGGAAAGTGATTGCTGTACTTGTGGGCCTGAAGAAATGTTTGTTGGTGAAGTGTAAATGTAATGAGCAAAGAAAAGGTTAAGAAAGGAAAGGTGTACCTATGGGTGATGAAAAACAAACGGGGCATTAAGAATGAATTCAGAATGATTTTGAATAAGAATGAAACATCACAACTATACTTAGTCAGGTTTTTGTTAGGTTATGTATCAGTAAACAATAGGAGTGGGAAACATGACAAGAGCTTTGGAATGATTATTTTTATCATTAAGGAAGAGTGAATGGAAATATTATAATTTTAGGTTATTAATCATTATTAAGGTAGAAATTAGTAATGGAGACAATAAGATTTAGGAAGCATGGAAAAATACTGTAAGACATATGAATGTGTTAATGTATGTGTACAGTAGTTTTTGTCAAGGGAGGAGGGTGAGGCAGGACTTGTCTGGGAAGCTGGTTCAAGATAAAATGGCAGAGAGGTCATCAGGGATTATATACAGTACAATATATATCATACATAAATGATCCATTAAGGAGAATCTGGGTTTTTGTGATTAAAAGAAGCATGGAGGGCATTAAGTCTTGTGTACTGACATACAGTACACCCCAGACCTCAGGCATAAGGTGATATATTGTTAGATCAATTTTCATTCAGCAACTGGAATATTACTTAATACTGAATAGTATAAATTTGACCTAAATCTAATTGTGTGGAGTTAATTGATATATTTTTGTTGTTAAGGTTATATAATGTAATCAATAATGTGCGTGTAATGACAGTAACCACCAAATTATTTATCTTATCGCCGAATTGAAAATTTCTCGGAAAATCTTTCCCAAAGCCGGAAGTTTCTGGTTTTTGAGGGGCACATTTTCTGGACAAGTCTGAGAAAAATTTCCCAGTACCCAGAAAATTCCGGGGATGGGGAGGTTTTTCCAGCTTTGAGAGAGTTGTCTAGTTACCCAGAAATCTTTCATTCCCGGAAGTGCTGCACCAATTGTTCCAGCTAATGGAGATATAATTTTTTTTTTTATCCCTGTCCATTTATACAACCCAGCATCATTTAATGAAATAGCTTTTTTATCCACACAATATGTGGCTCTACAACCAAATATGGAACAAAATTCTTCTGTCTATTCCTTAAGGCCATCAGCACAAGCAGCGACAAAGTAAACAAAGAACACGAAAAATGCTAAAGGAAAGAAGACGATCAGAAAGCAATTGAGGCGGGCTGGCAGACTGTTAGTATGGATGGTGGTGGCGAGTTCCTTCGAGGAGATATGCCCTGGTGCAAATGGAGTGACCTGGATAGTCTTATGTGGGCATTGCTGCTGCTTGATGTCCCTCAGGCGTAGATTCTCTACAAAAATGAGGGAGATGATGACAAAGAAGACGTAGGAAATGAGGGCAACATACCACACATCGATGAGCTTGAGGTAAGATGTCTTGGGGATCGTGAGACTTGTCTGACTGAAGAAAGCAGCCAACACCAGTAGTGACGTCAGGGACACCATGATACGATCCTGTGGAGGTCAGGGTCATGATACACTGAATGATGAAGGTGAAGTCATGTTTACCCAATGAAAAGTTTAGTAAACCAACAAATTATAGGAACACTTAAACCATAATAGTGGAGAAACTTAGGACCCAACATAGTCTTAGGTCCCCTAGACTAGATGAATCAGATATACTGACTGAATAGTATAAGAATTCAATGAAGGTTCAGAACTGCTACCATTAACCTCAAGAAAGCCAACAACTCAAAGATTTCCAAGAATTGCAATATAAATTACATTAAGAAATGTACAGATCATGAACTTTTATAAATAACTTCAATATCACTAAGAAGCTCTTATTAAGAGCTTTAGAACCTTCATAAAGAATCCACAAAAGGTGGACACTTTCATGTTCTAAGAGCTGGCGAGACACCATCTTACCTGAAAGTCTTCCAAGTCAAAATAGAGACTGAAGTAAGATATGACAAGCATCATGGTGCTGGGCAGGAAAGCGTTCATCGTGTAGTACTTGTACAAGTTGGTGAACTTCAGCCTGACCTGTTGAAGGGAAGGTAAACACTGCTAATAGGACTAGGAATGAAATTGACCTGTAGGTGATCTGGCTTCTGTAATTAACCAAATTTCTTGTAGGAAATATCACCTTTCTTTAGATCATCAGATTACCTTGTAGGTAAGATTTGTAACCTCAATCTGACCTTCATTTGGGTGACCTGCTCCTCGGTAATGTCATGGATGGTCTCGTCAACAAGGTTGTACTCCAGCAACTGTCGTGTCCCAGCAAAGGTCAAACCAGCACCTTCCTGAGGGAGGAGGAAAGATGGAAGAGGTCACCCCAGGTTATAGAGAAAATAGTTTTTGAAGGAGAGGTCAGCCCAGCTTATAATTTTGGAACATTCTGGACCTCTCGGTTAAAATTTCTCCCTTTCCACTGAATTTTCAGGTCTCAAAGAGTCCAGTTTATAAAAATCAGAAGTTCGTCACTTTAAAGTAAATTTAATTTCGTGGCAGGAGCGGGTATGTCAGGTTACCTTGTCCAGCTTGCCAGAGAAATCAGTGATACCCTGAACAGTGAAGAAGAGTGAACACCGCTGAGTGTCGAAGGGGTAAGACTCCAGGTCAAGCTGACAGCGGGACTTGAGAGTCTTGTGTAGACGATACAAGAGACTGTTGTTTGACCCGCTGTACACGTCATCTGGAAGGTGAACATTGAGGATTACTTCTCTCTAACTTACCTGGCTGGTGGTGAATTGATCAAAAGTGTTGATGTTGATAGGAATGGATGGTAACTAATGATGGTAAGGGGAGATGTAACAAGGTGTAAAAATGTGAAAGTTGGGTCCCATATGTATGACTGCCTGTTAGGGACTGGATTGGTCCAGTCCCTAACAGTACACTAAGCCTTTGGTACACAAGAAGGCAGCATGACCAATACTGCACTCTACCACATTCACCTCCCCAAGTTGTAAATTTAGGTACCCACTTAAAGTTTGGGAGGGTCTACCTTCGTGAAGGACGGCGTTGTTGTCAGCCATAGGTGGCGTCATCTTGACAACGTAGAGGTCACCGCCATCTGTCTGGCCATGTTGCACCCAGCTCTGTGTGCCATCTGTCACCATCAACTCCGGCGTCCACAACAACCCCGGCTGTTTCACCTTGTTCTTGCGGTGGTCTTCCTGCAGGTTTGTGAAGGTTACCCTCGAGTCGTTCCACCTGATAGTGATGATGACGTCGATGGTAAGGGTGAAGGACACTACGTTGAACTCCCTAATGGAGGTGATATTGAGATGGAAGAGGAGAGGAACAGGTTTTAAGGTGATCTTGGGGGGCGGCAGTTGGGCAGAGTAGCCCTCGGGTATAGCCATCACATCGCAGGTGAGCTCATCGGTGTGGTCAGGACAGTCGGTGGAGAGGTCGCAGCGTTGTGATTTGTCAATACAAGTGCCGTCATCACAGGTGAACTCGTCAGCCCTGCAGGCGGTGAGGAGCAAGTACACCTGGAGGAACACCTGGGTCATAAGTACACCTGAGGAGGAACATCTGGGTCATAAGTACACCTGAGGAGGAACACCTCAGATGGGTCTCGTGTGTACTCCAACCACAAGAGATTACACGAAGGTTCAAAGGTGACCCTAAAAGTTAACCAAGGTGAAAATGTCACGATATAAGTCACAATGATATGCTGTTGTAGTCCTGAAGCTGCAGGAACTAATCAATGTTTCATGACATAACTAAGACTTTGAGGAGAGTCAGCATACATACCGACAAGAAAGAACACTACAGTATATACACCTCCCTCATGAGTGGAAGGTCATAAAATTCAACTACCTGTACTAATTAAACCTACATTAGTCACATTGTACATCCATGGCAGTAATACTGTATGTCTGTCATATTGTACAATACGTTTGTGTGTGACAGTCGCATACTGTATTGATCTGATGAATCCTCATATATGATTGACCATTTGGGAGGGATCATTGTACTTTATCTGCCCCTCCACCTGGGTGAAGTCGGGTAACTCGGTAATTATTAAATTTGGTGGGTTATAGAAGTACATGATGGTAATAGACATAAATTATAAAATTTGTTTTTCTATGTCAACTAGTGATGAAATGACACACAACTTAACATGTACTGTTACATGTAAAAATATTCAGTACCTGACAAGTGCTTGAGGACACAATATTGACGGGGAAAACTTGCACAATGATGTATTAACTGGTGAGTGGTTTGAGACAGTGTGTGATACAATACCAGACATTGTATGCATAGTACCAGACACTGTGTGTAGTACTACAGTGTGTGTCACAACCATCATCCATACATGACAGTGAATACAGTATTACCGTACCTCTTTCTGTCTACATTTATCCCCTCTGATGTTCCACAGATGGAGGCCGACAGGGTAGTCCATCTGGTCCACCATCTTTGCTGACAGCTGGGGGTACAGACGGCTCTCCATCACCCAGCTCTTGTTATTCCATATAATGCTGCTGTGTCGAGCACCGTCAAACTTTGGGCGATTGTTGATGTACTCATGCAGGAAGAGTGAGCGATCGAAGAGTGAGGACTCACACAGACCACGCAGATGCACCTCGGGATGGCTGGTAAAGTTACACATGACGCAAGCGATGACGGTACAGGGGGCGTGGTACCACTCATAGGGATGAAGTATACCGCCAGCGAGGATACAGCTGTACTTATCTGTCACGCTTTCCCAGGAATCTTTAAAGTTATGCCAGTGTATGGGTTGATCATCAATGAGGCGGAGCCACTGGCCGCTGGAAACATTGCCACTTGCACCCACCCAGTACAGTGCCTGCCACACATCGAAACATTCATTGTTGAACTCGATGAACTTGTCAAAGATCTGGATATTATTCTCGAGGCTGGTGGGTAGAGCGATGTCTCCCCGCAGCTTGTCGCACCAAGAAATGGAGTCAATAAAGGTTTTTTTCTCAGGAAAGAGCATTGTGTACCCTGGGATGTGACGGCACACCTCGTCCTCTGAGATGTTGAAAAGTTGTGTCTGCCCTTTGATCATGAAGCTCTTCTTCTCAAGACTGATGATGGGTGCCACCTGTGAACTGAAGGCCTTGTCCTCGCAATGGATGAACCTCTTCACATGGGAGGTCTCCAAGAGGTGATCATATATCCTTAAGTCAGCGATCTCCCCGTGGAAATTGTGAGAGACGTCAAACTGTCCCTCTAATGTGGCGATATCCTGACCCACCACCAGGCGGCCACCACCGGTCACCCTGGGGCGTGTCCCCGGCAGCAGCTTGGCATCATCAATCTGCAGCTGCCGCTCCTCCAGCTGTGTACAGATGAAGAGGACATGAGTTGTATAGTTGTATAATACATTATGTGGCTAACTGATTGTGGGGTATTTACTAATAAGAGACAACTTAACAAAATCTAAACCCTTAAGCCCCGGGTTAGGGTGCTGCTGGCAGTACCCCCCATGTGGGGTTAAATCGAGAAAAAAAATCAACATTTCCAAAATTAATTAAAAAAAAAATGGCGGGAAAATAGGCGGACAATCTGGAACGTCACCCGGGGCCTAAGGATTCCACAATCCTTATCTGCACATAACTTTGTACATTCACACTCACAAATTTACTTGTACGTATATGTACAAGGGCTGACAATTAAGTTCACGAACTCGCCACGTGGCTCAACAGGCGACAGGTCTGTAATGAGTGTGAGTGGCGTGTGTGTGACCTTGATCCCTTCTCTTACTGCCCCAGTTGTGTCGTCGATTTCATGCAAGTCGGACGTACACAGCGGCAGTTATTGTATTCGAGTGTTTTCTGGTTTTGTCACGATAATGACAGATATTGTTTTAGAACAAAGAACGAGCATCAAGCTTCTCGTGAAACTGGGGAAAACTGGACCCGAAATTTGGGACATGTTAACCCAAGTTTATGGGGATAATGCACTAAAGAAAACACCAATTTAAAGGTGGATTAAGTGGTTTTCTGAGGGAAGAGAAGACGTGACAGAGAAGGACGACCAACAACGAGCAGGACTGAGGTAAACATTGAAAAAAATTGGAAAGTTGTGTGAGCTAACAGGTGATTGATGGTAAGAAACCTTGCAGATGAGGAGGACATTGACAGGGAATCAGAAGGGTTTTGACTGATGAGGAAAGTTAGTGCAAAATTAGTGCTGAAAAATTTTGTTGACGAACAAAAACAAAGAAGAGTTTAAATTTGCTCAGACCTTTTGGAAAGAGAAGCTGGAGATGACCCTGCTTCACCGAGTCGTTATTGTTGATGAGTCATGGTTCTACCAATACGACTCGGAAACAAAAGGCCAGAGCACTCGGTGGGAAAACTGCAAACTCTCCACGCCCCAAAAAGTGACACACGTCAAAGTCGAAAGTGAAGACAATGCTCATCACTTTTTTTAATTCTAAGGGTGTAGTTCACAAAGAATTTGTTCCCCCAGGGCAGGGTTGGAACCAGTTTTACTATCTCAACGTGAAAACCCCCTGAACTTTTTGCTGGAAACAAGTGGATCTTGCATCATGACAATGCCCTAGTGCCCGCGGTATTGATTGTACGGGAGTTTTTGGCCGAGAAACAAATTACATTACTGGAACACCCTCCTTATTCACCTGCCCTGGCCCTGTGTGACTTTTTTTTTTATTTCCTTAACTAAAGAAACAGTGAAGTTGTAAATAACTTAAAGTGAGCGCTAACTAGCAAGCAAGCTGGAAAGGCACCGTGCCAGCTGAAACCAAGTCGAGTTATAGGTGCCACAGAGACTTGAAATTTTATTTTGTTTGTGTGCTTTCTCAAGGACTGAAACTGTGCCTACAATACACCATTCACAGGGAGATACAGTGTATGCAGTCGCAGAAGACAATTCTATAGGCAACAGAGAGTAGCGAAATACTTTTTTTTTCTCTCTATTCTTTTTTAAATAGGTGTGATCTACACAGTCTGCACCCCCCCCCCCACAACAACAACAACCATGAGTATGATATGTGATTACTGTACTGCAGGGAGACGTCGGATATGGAGGATACAGGCTTGACTAATGCAACGTTCAGGACGTTACTAACTACCGTAAAATATGAGGGCTGTTGCTGTTATTGCCCTGGCTGCATAGTCAAGGTGAATGAGGCGATTGCAATCCATAAGGGAACGAGTTCTCAAGGGACGAAAATAGATGAAGCTGAAGCCCTGCTGGTTGACAAACTGGAGCAAGTTGGGAAAGAGATCCTTGCTAAGACTGAGGAAGTAGCCGATGGAATGGAGGTGTTTGCTAAGAGGAGTTATGCTGACATATTAGCAGGGCCACGGGAGGGTGCAGGATCAGAACAGGTTCGACAGCAGATTGGGACTCTGAAGAAGTGTGTCGAAGAAATGAAAATTAACGGACCTACTGGTAGGGGAGAGGAGGAACACCAGCGCAGGAACAATGTCATAGTTTTTGGAGTCCCAGAGAGCCAGGTGGAGGGAACTGTGAGTAAGGTAACACACGATAAGATGTGTGTTTCAAAATATTTGTACAGAGGTTCTGAAGATTCCATCAACCCCTCAGGATGTGAGGAGGCTGGGACAAAAGCAGGGGGATAAGCCTCGTCCCCTCAGGATCACACTAGCGAGCGGGGAAGAGAAATGGCAGGTTATTCGGCAGGCGAAAAACTTAGCAAGGAGCGAGGCATTTCAGGATGTATTCATTTACCCAGATCGCACGGTAATACAGAGGGAACAGCACAAGAAGCTCCTGCAGGACTTGAAGCAGAAGAGGGAGGAGTCAAGGAAGAACGGGGACGGGTGTACATGGGTTATACTCAGGGGGAGGGTAGTGGAAGCAAGTGTGCCGACTCAGGGCCAGGGGGCAGCAGTGCACCCTCCATCCGCTCTAACCCCCACCCGAGAGGCGGCACCAGCTCCGCCTACCGGACAGGAGGAGGCGAGCGCCGTGTAAACAATGACATTTCTAACCACACCCTGCAAAATACAGTGTACTTAGCAAACGCTGCAGCTTCTGAGAATGGGGGTGGAGCGGGTTTATTACTAAGAGCAGAGACGTTACCGCGAACAAATTCTGGCTTGAATGTCATGTACACTAATACTGACACGTCTCTCGATAAGAGAGAGGAGCTTCAAACTCTACTAAGAGTACACCAACCAGATATCGTAGGAATTGTAGAACTGTTGTACAAGAACAGGAGAATCAACCCAGAGGAATGTAAGTTCAGTATTGCTGGACATGACTCATTTACGAACCTTTCTCAAGAAACTTGCAAGAGGGGTGTAGTTATCTATGCAAGGCAAGACCTTAGAGCCAGCCAGGCGAGGGTGTAGTGGCTCCTCTCCCCTACAACTCCCAACTGAGCTCCGGCCGCGCGCCTACCAGCCATTCAGCGTACAGCCGAATCGAAAAATGCTAGTGACAGGGGGGAAGGAGGTTCAGGGGAAGGATAAAGGGAGGATAGAAGTGAATTTTAGAAGGAGAGAACAGGTGCAGTGGCTAAACACCGCTTGCGTGAGGGGGTAGGCAATGTGCCCGGTGGGTGTAACAATCACAATCAGGACGAGGCAGAGGGAGGGCGGGAACAGGACCGGGCAAGCAAAGGGCCAACGCGGGTGCTCTGGTTGTCGTCTTAGCCTAGGCAGTGTTGGCAAAGCGGAGGAAGAACCGCCCCGCCACGGCGGCGGTGCAAGCCGAGAAGCGCAGGTGGACGAACGCACAGGCAACACGCGATCAAAGTAACAGAGAAGGTGAAAAAATGGAAATGTAGCTAGTCGTAGGGTTGTTTGGAGAAAGATGAAGGTAAAGTCTTTGAGCTATGTCAAAGAGGAACGGAGCGAGTTGGAGGAAGGGTTTTGAATCTTTGAGCTTGAAATGTCAAAGTATTCATAGTAAGGAAGGATGAGCGTATCGTAGGAGAGTTTTTAGTAATAGCAGCAGACAGATTTGAGCTTTTTTGTCAAATTATGAACGGAGACGAGAATGAGATATAGGTTGATTGGTTTCAGTCTTGAGTTAGGTCGATTTTATTGAAATTGGATGTCACAGACGTTGGGTATGTTTGATTTGGTTCTGAGAGTTGTGGGTCTTTGAGCTATGTCAAAGAGAAATGGAGAGAGTTGGAGGAAGAGTTTTGAATCTTTGAGCTTGAAGTGTCAAAGTATTCGTAGTAAGGAAGGATGAGTGTATCGTAGGAGAATTTTTAGTAATAGCAGGAGACAGATTTGAGCTTTGTCAAATTGTGAACGGAGATGAGAGTGAGATATAGGTTGTTTGGTTTCAGTCTTGAGTTAGGTCGATTTTGTTGACAGTGGCTGTTATAAAAGTTGGGTATGTTTGATTTGGTTTTGGAGAGTTGTAGTGTTATGAGAGGCTTTGTCTGGCTGGTGTTTGGAGGTGGGGTGGGGGAGTTTGTGTTTGGGGGAGTTGGTTTGGGGATTGGCGGGGGTGGCGGTTGTATGTTGATTTGAGCTGAATTAGAATTGCTTAAGGGGGGTTGTTGTGTGAGTGTGTATGTGTTTGTGTGGAAATATAGTAAGGGGAGAGGGGGAGGGTTAGGATAATTGTTAGTAAGGTCAGGTATGGTTCAGTTGTTGGGAGGAGAGGAGAGGAGAGGGGGGCTTTGGAGGTTGTTGGGTTAATTTATAGTATGGTAGGATTTCTTAGGGGTGATATGATTTGTGTGGCTAATGAATAGTTGTATTGAGTCATGTTATTTTTTTTTTAGGAGGGTCGAAGGGGCTTGTTAGAAAGGTCGGGTATATTAAGTTTTTGTTTTGGGAGGATTAGGTGTTGATTAGTGATTGGATAGTGAGTTAGCTTTTTTTTTTAGGAAGGATTGTGAGTAAGATTGGGTGGGTTAAGTTTTTCTTTTGGGAGGATTGTAGGTTTTGTTAGCGGTTGGCAGAGTTGGGTTAATTATTGCTTTCTTTCTTTCCTTTGGCTTGTAAAGGACTTCTGCAATTGCGTGGTGGGCTTTTGCAGGTGTTGTGAGTTCCTGGTCCCATTCTTGAGGGAGAGGGTTTGTGTACAGGTACAATGCACCCCTCCCCGACCTTGTTGGCTAAGGGAGGCGTTCATGTCATCTGTATCTTGGTACCATTCTTTGTTAGGTACACCTCTCCGACCTTATTGGCTAAGGGAGGTGCCCATAAAACATTGTTGGTAACATTCTTGAGGGAGAGGGCTTGCGTACAGGTACTGTGCACCTCTCCCCGACCTTATTGGCTAAGGGAGACGTACACGTCATCTGAGTTAGTATGGGATGGGTAAGTTAGGTATTTGTTTTGGGAGGAGTGCTAGGGTGTGGTTAGTTAATG